GTAGCCACTCCCCAAAGAAAGGCATGACCACAGCCTCAGAGAAAACATACATAAGAAATGCACCCACAAGTCTTGCAAAGAACACACATAAACACCTAAGCAACACACATCTCAGATGACCAGTACGAGTAGGCAGTAATATACATCGGTTGCCAGAAAAGAAGTATGTTAAATTGGGGAGGTGGTGTAGAAGGAAGACACAACCAGGCAGATAAATTATAAGGCCCATCCATATACAGCTTGTATTCTTGTGTTCATGGCACATAAGATATACCCATAATATTCACACACACACACACACACACACCCTTATGCCACATTTGGGTGGGCACTCCAGCAGCTGTCTCCTTCCCTTCTATTCAGGCCTACTCAGATTTCTGTTTCCTCTGACACCCTCCCCCACCTAGAGTCATTATACATCTGTACTTCAGGCTGGCCAGGGAAAAAGACACCTGTCAGCAGAAACTTTGGCCCATGTAACTAAATGGGGGAGGAGGGCTAGGCAAGTATTTACACTTCAAGAAAAATCTGGTATCCTGTCTAAAGGATTAATGTACTTTGGGGAAAAATACACAAAATACACACCCTCACCCACCCATGCACTTATCCATTTCTCAGCTACAATCTACTGTTCTGATCACTCATCTCCCTTGCCAGAACCTTCCTCAGCTCTTAAATGTTGCCCACTACAGAGCTACCAGGCACACAGCAAAGAGGCAAAAAATTCCAAACATCAGGTACGATATTATTGTTTTTTTTTTTATGTGTCTGTCAAAGGAGCCGGTGTGGGGCAATGAACCGTCAACTAACCTGTCAGCCCCATTTTTAGGCCCTCGAAGCTTGAAAGCACTGCACACATCAGGTGAACAACATATATTGTCACAAAGCAAAGCAAAGAGCAAGTGGGATCTGGCTGTGGAGAACAACCTGTTATAAGAGGAACAGATGTTCTAAAGTATTCCTGCAGCCTTGAATTTGTGCCAGGGAGCAGAACACTTTGTTAGTTCATCAGGGTAGTACTCCTACTCAAGGTCGTCTAAGGATTGGCTGCTTCAGTAAAGCAGGGCTTTGTGTGATATTTGGCATTCCTATTTCTACAAATAAAAGTCATTTTGGGAAGCAGGGTACGGCGACCCATGTCTGGTCACCGTGGAGGCTGAGACAAAAAGACCTTGAGTTATAGACATCTTGTGCTACATGACGAGACCATCTCAAAAAATAAATTAGAGAGCTGGGCACTGGTGGTGCACAACTTTAATCCCAGCGCTTGGGAGGCAGAGGCAGGTGGATCTCTGTGAGTTCGAGTCCAGCCTGGTCTACAGAGTGAGTTCCAGGACAGCCTCTAAAGCAATACAGAGAAACCCTGTCTCAAAAAACCAAAATGCTTGCATACCTACATACATGCATGCCTACATACATAATTAGAGGGAGAGAAAGATAATCAGTTCTTCAAAAAGAACCCTGGTATTCATTAAAATAGGTCAGAATCCAGGAGCAGAAGCAACATAGCAAAGCAACCCTTTGGCAAAAGCTTGCTCTGCTCAGCAATTCCTTAGCTCTGTGGCCATGAGAAATTCCTAATTTTTGCCTTGCCTTGGCTTCCTCGGGAGCAAGATAATGCCTAATTTAGGAAGTTATAGAGGAGATAAATTTCAGAAGTAAAATGCTTGTCACAATGCTCAGTCCATCTTAATTGATGCTTATATAGCTTTTAAATGAATGGACGGATGGTCTGTAAAGCAACACACACACACACACACACACACTTCTGCATTTAGGATTTTAATCTGTCCTTTAATGCAGGCACCCCACTGGGGAACTCTTTCCGATCCTTTCCTGTCCCTCAAAGTTGTCCATGTACCCACTGCTTCCCCAGCCCACCCCTGCCCTCAGCACAGTGATTGAAGCCCATCTAGGCCCAGGCTTCCTCTTCCCCCTCATAAATGCCCGCTCTGAGAAAAAAATTGCTCTGGCAGCTGTGCCCCTCCTTGACCTCTTCAGGAGGTGGTGGGGAGGACACCTTTACACTCAGTAGGGTGCTGGGTGGGAGCCTCTGGCTCCGGGAAGAGCCTGGGTGTAACTGGCTTGCCTGGCAGGAATGAGGATATTCTAAAGAGACACTTGTGTCCCTTTCTTTGGCTATTAGACTATTGAAACAATGCACCCCAAGAAATTGGAATTTCCCCAGGAATCTCATGCTGGGTGAAGAAAAAGGCTGAAATCTGGGGCCAGTCAGGGGGAAAACTTGTCTCGAGGAAAGAGGTTTTGGAACTTGTCAAGCTACCTTGCAAGAGAGACTGAAGCAAATTACTGATGGGTCTAACACATCCACAGAAGCACGCCTTGACTACGGCTGCACAGCTATGCATAAATCTGACCCCCTACTTAAACCTGAACCTCATGTCACGTCACCTAAGATAGACTTGGTGGAAGATAGTCACTGGATCTCTTTGTCCTCCTTTCCAATATGCCCAGATGGATTGATTCTCCTTTTCCTACTTTTCACTATTAATGTGCCTCTTTCATTGGCTTATTGAGGACCGGTCGCCCAGCCTGTCTTCTTAGGTGACACTAAGAACTCCAGTGGCATGAGGAATTCAGAGCCTGGCTCCTGCCCCCCAAACCATCAGCCCTGCTGGAGGAAGCAAGTTTCTTTGCTAAAAATTAAACATCCTCTTGTTGGCCCACAAGAAAACAGGACATAGGAAGCATCCAACAGGATGAACATGGGCCCCCGATGCCTGGCACTCCCTGCTCTCTTGTGGAGCAGCGGCCTGTTTGAGCCCTTCCTTTCTCACACTTGTTTACTGCAGCATGAGAGCCAGGTTCCCATAACCCCACAAGACTCTCTTGCACTCCACTGACAAAACTGTTGCTTTGCTTTTTTAATGTAATGTTTTTGTTTTTTTTCTTTGCTGGTGATGGAACTCAACAGAGAACCACAGTCCTAGAACCTCACACACACCAGGCAAGTGCTCTGCCACTGAGCTGCATCCCAAGCTGCCCCTCCTTCCTTGGCTCTCAGGTACCTTAAGTGGCTGCTGCTACACAACAGGTTATTGCTACCCAGAGTCTAAAAAAAAAAAATCTCCTTCAGAAATGTTTCTGTCTCTTCATAGGACCCCTCAAGAATGCAGAATGGGGTCTGAGACATGGTTCAGTGGATAAATACATGAGCCACACAATGAGATGACCCAAGATTGACCTCGAAAACCCATGTAAATGCTGTGTGCAATGGCATGCATCTGTTATCCTAGCACTCATACAGCCGGTCAGGAGAATAGCCCAGAAGTTAGCATGCCAACTTCCTGGGCTATATAAAACAGCAGCAGAAACAGTAAAAGAAGCTACCTCAACAAGAACCAATTCCCTAAAGTTGTCCTCTGACCTCCAGACAAACCCAACAGAAATATGTGCATGTACACGTGTGTGTGTGCATGCACGCGTACTCACACACAGATTTTTTTTCTGAGACAGGATCTTTCTTTGTAGCCTTGACTGGCCTGGAAAGCACTATGTAGACCAGGCTGGCCTCAAACCTCTAACTCACAGAGATCCTCTTGCCTCTGCCTTCCAAGTGTAGGGACTAAAGGTGTGCACCACCAGGCCTCACCTAAAAAAATATATTAATGCAGAAAGCCAGGCTGGGGATGCAACTCAAAGGTAGGCTGTTTACTTTATTTGCTCGCACCACCAACACCTATCATAGATTGGATTTTTAAAGATAATAGATATTTAAAATCTATCACTTCTTAATAATCTTACTGTATTTCAATCATTTTCTATGCCCGTTCTAAGCCATTTCCCCTATTGTACGGTCCAATTAATACATTAATGCTGCACCTGTGTTCACACTACACATGGGTGACTTAAAATCTGACCAGATGATAGATAATATGTAAACCATGGAAACTAGTAAATGCTACAAACAGAACCAACCCCCTACCCTGCCAAAAGCCAGTTAACCATTTACCAGCACACTACTGAAAGCACTTAGTGGCTAATACATGGCAAATATTGTTTCCATTATTGTATTTTTTTGCACAGTCATGACATATGAGCACAAACACGAACATATGCGCATACATATATTCTTTAAAATGTTATTCATCCGTACATTTATTTAGTCATTCATTTGGGGAAGGGAGACTTGCCACAGTGTGCATGTGGAGGTGTGGGTCTGGTGAATAGAGCTCAGGTGGTCAGATTTGGCAGCAAGTGCCTTTACCTGGTGTGCTGTGCCACAAATTCATAGGTAGGCTTTTTAGTGATGCTTGGTGGTTAAAATGTTTCCAAAACTATTAGGAAAATACAGAGTTAGGAAAGGGTGTACACCTTTCTAACTCTCCAATTAACAAAGTGAATTCTTCATCAGTGATGATCTCCACTTTTCAGATGGGGAAACTAAAATTCTGAGAGGGCAAAACTGAAAGCACCACAGTCAACCAGTGAAAGTACGATGCAAAATTGCACGCGGCAGCTTCCCGGTTAGCGTCCTTTTGCAAAGCACTTTTTTCCTCCGCATGGTCATGCTCCGCCCCCTTGCGTAATTTCCCTTCCCGCCAGACGTAAAGAGACTAGGCGTGGTCATGTCGCTGAATTTTGGGAAATGTAGTACATAGGCTCAGTGAATGCTAAGATGTAAAAGGGAAGCTCAGTAAGTTGTCTTGGCCTCCTTTTTCTTGCTTTTTTTGTGCAAGTGCGTGGAGCGGGGTGGGGATTTCCCATGCTAAAGTCTCTCTGTATAACTCAGATTGGCCGAGAATTCGCGATCTTGCTGCCTTGCCCTCCTGAGCGCAGTTATACGACCTTGGCCTTGAAACAAAGAACTAAGAGCCGGTTCACGTGCCTTGCAACATTATTGGCTAAGCAATATCAGTTGCATTCTGGGACTAGCAGTTCCTGTGACCCGGATACGTCGACAAAAGATGACGAGACTAACGTCATACGTCCTGCTCTGGTCCGGACCTCCGTAGAACTAAGTGTTTCACAATGCAAAGTTAGCCACGTTGTTACAACCTCTATGCTTGTGCGACAGGCCTTCGGGTCAACTAACACCAACTGGAGCCCTACCTTTTCTCAACGATTTGCACACTGGTGATCCAATCTCCCTCACTGTCCAAGAGCTGAGGTAGGTCCTGGGGCACCGAGGACAAACTGGGACCAAGACTGAAAGCATGCCTTCCCTGTCGGGATGGAAGGGGTTTATTCTTGGTGTTGCAACTGCATAGTTCAGTCAAGCCCTGGGAAGCTTGCTTAGAGCAAGAACTAGAATGCTGGGTGAACTCGAGCGGCTGCAACATGTAGCTACACAGCTGATCTGCTATCCGCTGGACCACCTGGAGGGGTATCTGGTGGTCCTAATACGGTGATGGTCTTTGAGGTCATGAAGATGGACTTGGGGCTGTTAACAGAAGATGATTCTTTAAGGTATTAGACATGTGGCACTATGTCCACTGGAAAGTTAGTGAAGGCTAATAACATTTTAGTTGAGTTTTTCTTGGAGACTGATAGAGTGTGCTCACTGGAGGGATGGTGAAGGAATTTCTAATGAGAGTATGACCTCCTGAGGGTTCTGAACATTCAGCAGTTTACATAATAATCGGTTATGGAGAGAATAATAGAGATGGGTAGGCAGAGTGATGAAAGGACTAGTAGGGGAAGCGATGAAAGAAGAAAAAGAAGGTGTGTGAGCCTTCTGGGAAATGTGTGTATTGATGAAAAGGATACTGAAGGCCACTAGTGTGATCTTTGAGAGGTTGGTTGGAGAGCTTAACTGATAAATTGACATGATAGAGACATAAAAGGTCATGATCCTCTAGGCATCAATGGAGATTAACGTGGTAGTAATTAATGGTTGAAGGCCTAATCTTTGAAGGGATTGATGGAGTGCAGAGTAGAGAGAGATTAGGCTGTGGGAAATGAAATAAGGTTGTATCAGGGTATTAGGTGTGAAAAGCATAGCATTAGTGAGGGGGAGTAGGGTTCTGTGAATCTGGAGCCACTGGAAATAACCAGAGAGATGGGCAGGTGTTAATAGAGATGCAATGGCCAGAGAAGATAGTTGAGAGAAATTGCTTGTGTAGAGTGCCAGTGAGAGGAGTTGGAGGTAAGCAGGGTCAGTAGTAAGTCATTAACTGTGGAAACTGTGGTGCCCACAGTGGTGGGGGCCTGTGTGATGAGAAAAGGAGCCTGAGACTGCATGATAAGGGACTCAGGGTCCTGTTGGGGCTTTAGTCTCTGTGTGTTGAATGAGCTATCATATGGGTCACACGAACTCAATTAGCTGTGCTTTATTTTCTCTGCCCTGTGTAGGTAGGTGGCATCCTACTACCTGCCCTGTTTACTCATATAGGATAGCATCCGCTCATTGCCTACCAGCAGAGTGAGATGGGACGAACATCAAAGGATAAACGGGATGTCTACTACCGCCTGGCCAAGGAGAATGGCTGGCGGGCCCGAAGCGCCTTCAAGCTACTTCAACTTGATGAGGAATTTCATCTCTTCCAAGGTGCCTAATCTGGTGACCAAGTGACCTGGTAGTGAAGACAAGGTTGCTCCTGCCAAACTCACTGTAGTGGGTGGGCTAACTTTGAGGATATTGGGGCAGGAAGACAGGGAAGAGGATGGGTCACAAATCTTAGAGGAGGTGGCACAAGAGCAGGGGAGAGAGATGAATCATGCAGGGTTCTCAGGTGAGCAAGGTCTATGCAGCTGACCAAGTCTGTCTTTACTGTGTGTGCACAGGTGTGAAGCGGGCAGTTGACCTATGCGCAGCCCCAGGCAGCTGGAGCCAGGTGCTGAGCCAGAAGGTTGGGTGAGTGGAGGTCTAGGAGGGGGAACTGCTGGGAGGAAGGGCTGAGAGTGAAGACTGTGCTGACATGGGCTCTGCTGTCCACAGGGGCCAGACATCTGGTCAGGTGGTAGCTGTGGATTTGCAGGCTATGGCTCCACTCCCAGGCGTGATACAGATACAGGGGGACATCACTCAGGTGAGCAAAACAGAGAGAAGGCTCTGTTTTGGGGGTTATAGAAAGTGGAAGAGAAACAAGGCAGCAAACAAACAAACAAAAAGCAACAAAAGTAGCCTAGTGGTGGCACACGCTTTTAATTCCAGCACTCGGGAGGCAGAAGCAGGCGGGTCTCTGTGACTTCAAGGCCCGCCTGGTCTATAGAGCTACTTCCAGGACAGACTCCAAAGCAATACAGAGAAACCCTGTCTCGAAAAACAAAAGGAGGGGGGTGGCTGTAAGGTGGCTTCAGCAGGTAAGGGTGCTTACTGACAAACCAGATGACTGAGTTCCATCCTGAAAGCTGTCCTCTGGCCTCCACGTACATACAGTTGCACATGTACCTAAACACACACATACTAAATTAATAAATAAATGCAGTTTTTAAAATATTTTAGGGGCTGGAGAGATGATTCAGCAGTCAAGAGCATTGGTTGTCCTTGCAAAGGACCTGGGTTCAATTCCGAGCACCCACATAGTGGCTCACAACTGACTGTAACTCCAGTTCCAGGGATTGTGAGGCCCATCTTCTGGCCTCCCCAGCACCAGGCATACATGTGGGGCACAGACATACGTACAGGCAAAACACCTATGTACATTTTAAAAAAGAAGAAGAAGAAAAGAAAGGGAGAGGAGAATAAAAGTATTTTGAATGAATTGATTACTATTTGTTATTATTTGTTGCGTGTATGTATGCGGGTGCTTGTGCACTATGGTCTGCATATAGAGGTCAGAGGAAAGCTTGGAGGTGTCAGTTCTTTCCTTCTGTTATGTGAGTTTGGGGGCTAGAACTCTGGGTCACCAGGCCTGCCAGCAAACACCTTCACCTGCTAAGCCATTTCACCAGCCCCATATCAAAAAGAAAGAGGAGGGGGATTGGAGATGTAGCTTAGCACTAGAACACTTGTTTAACACAAGCAGAGCCTACTGGGCTCTCTCCCCATATCAGAGCCAGGAGCTGAGAAAGGCAGGTAAACAGCAGACAAACAGCGACAGATTGTATGGCAGAGACACCAAAAGATGGGGAGGATGGGTCCCTAGAGATGGAACCTGGTCCCAGACAGGCAAAGCCTAAGAGCATTGAGGCTGTGGGAAGGTGGGATTTGAGGGTGAGGGCAGCAGAGGGGCACTGAGGCCACTCATCCCCCTTTCTCCATAGCTTTCCACTGCCAAGAAGATCATCCAGCACTTTGAGGGCTGCCCTGCCGACCTAGTAGTGTGTGATGGGGCTCCTGATGGTAAATGGGGGTGTGGGGTGACATTTATCTCCTAGCTCTGATTTTTTTTTCTCCCTCTTAGCCCTCTGCTTTCACTATTTCCTCCTTTCTGGCAATTTCTCTCTACCTCTGCTCCCTGCCCTCATTCTCCATCACCTTTCAAGTTTTTATTTATTTTTTTTAACTGTCTCATGGTGCTATAATAGAGGGACCTTCGTGTATGCTAGGCAAGTGTTCTGCTGCTAAGGTATACCTCCTGCCCTTCAGCTTTGTGCTTTTTGTCCACCCTTCTGTCTTTTCATATGACTGCTGGTTCAATCCTATGTTTTTGGTTTTGGTTGTTGTTGTTTTGCCAGCTATCTGTGTAGAACAATATCTGTTACGTTGGGAAAGTGTCCATAAATAAATTCCACTGACCTTGTGAAGTAAATGTTTTAGTGGCAATACGTAGAAAAGAAAACGATTGAGCTAGCAGCTCAGCGCGAGTAATTCCATCTCTGGGGAGAGTGAGGCAGGAAGATCACTAGAGTTCAAGCTCAGCCTGGACAACAAGAGAGGCCTTGACTCAAAAAAAACAAAAACTGGGGTGGGGAACTAGCTTAGTGGTTAAGAGTGCTTGGTAGAGGAGGTGTCGGTGGGAGGAAAAAAAAAAGCGCTTAGTACTCTTCCGAGGACCTGAGTTCATTTGTGAGCCATCCATGCCCGGTGGCTCACAGCTGCCTATAGCTTCAGCTCCAGGGCATCTGACACTCTCTCCTGGCCTCCATGAGCACACACATGTGACAAACACGGACACGCATAAACATACGCGTTTTTTTTTTTTAAGTTTTAAAAATATGCCAAACTAATAGAAATTTGTAAGGTTGAATGCAAAGATAATTAAATGAACTAAAAATGATAGTAGATACTATAGGGAAGTACTTGAAACAGGCCAAGGAAGTTAAAACTATGAGTTGGGATTTTAAATAAAGTAGACAAGAAAGGCTTCCCTGACTTGACAGCGAAGAGAGTTGATAGGGAACGTGCTAATGGGCCATCAGTTACAGCATTGCTCTTGGTACTAAGAACGTTGAAAAAAGCCCGAGGGTCATAGACCAGGGAAGCCTGCCTGGCTGGGATTGTGACTGTATCCCTGAGGCTGCTTGAACAACATGAGGGCCGAGGCGAAAGCAGGGACACCAGGAGGAGATGGTCCCTGCAGTAGTGGAAAGGAGTGAGTGAACACCAACAGTGGTGGCTCTAGTCACAGGCAAGTAGAAGCCACATTCTGAAACTAGAGCTGGCTGGATTTGCTTGGCTGGAATGTGAGGATGATGGAGACCAGAGTTGGCCACAGGAACTAAGGTTTTTGACACAAATAACTGGAAGGATCAAGATGATCTGAGAAACAGAGAGGAGCTGGTAGAGAAGCAAAGAGTAGTAGAAATTTGGCTTTGGACTTGTTGAGCCTATGGGGCTGGTCTATAAATCAAACTCAGAGGAGCCATCTGGGCTAGAGGTAGAAATGTGGGACAAATAGTTTCCAGAATTGAAATGACTTCCCAGCTGCTAGGGGTCAGGTTCAAATCCAGTTGGAAGGCAGTACTCTGTTTCCAGAACCTCAGCAGTAAGAGAGCCTGTAAATGTCTTATTTTTCTAATCTCTGGTACAAAAAGATAAATCAGAGGTGCCCTAATGCTATTCCTCTCCATACAGTCACTGGCCTCCATGATGTCGATGAGTACATGCAGGCCCAGCTTCTGCTAGCTGTGAGTAACCCTGGTGGCTGCCCCTGTCCTCCTTTAGCCCTCTCGGCTGCCTCTGCCTCAACAACCTCCACCGTACCCATCTGTCCTTCCCACAGGCCCTCAACATTGCTACACATGTCTTGAAGCTAGGGGGCTGCTTTGTAGCCAAGGTGAGCCTTGAAGGACCTGGGGGAGAGTTGGGAAAGGTCCGGGGGAGGGGCACTCTTACTTCTCCGAGTTGCCTTCCACACTCTACAGATATTCCGAGGCCGAGATGTAACACTGCTCTACAGCCAGCTGCGGGTCTTCTTCTCCAGTGTGCTCTGTGCCAAGCCCAAGAGCAGCCGGAATTCCAGCATTGGTCAGTGGCATGGAGACCTGACAGACAGGGGGTTGACTGGGCGTGTGTCCACATAAGGTTGAGGTGACAGGGAGCCACCCCTCACACCAGGTTCTTCCCACAGAGGCCTTTGCTGTTTGTCAGGGTTATGACCCTCCTGAGGGCTTCATTCCAGATCTGACCAGACCCCTGCTGGACCACTCATACGGTGAGAGCCAGAGCTGTTGACCCATGCGTGGGGAAAGTGTACCAACCACATGCATCTAATGTCTCTTTGAGGGCCCTCAGCCTCCCACCCTGATGTCTGTTGCACCCCCTCGTAGGGATATTTTGTACTAAAGGGAGCTTTAGGTGGTCCCCCAATGGTAGCCCTTGGTCCTGGTGGAGATTCTCTTGCTTCAGAGTCCTTAAGCATCCACCCAGGGAAGATCATGTCTGTCTTAGGAAAACCCTGTCACTGCCCTTGGGTGGAAACCTCACCTATGCTAAGCATGTTCCCTGTGCAGATTTGTAGCCTCACCCCTGCTTGGCAAAGGCAGATACCATTTGAGTGAGACAAGGTCCTGATAGACTGTGCTGGTAAAATGCTGGGTGGACAAAATACAGCGGAAAGCCAGAGCAGGGGCTGACATTTTAGAATCAGTGATCAGACAAGCCCCCTGTGAAGGCAGTCTGCCCTAGAGGACTAGTTGATGATAGACCAGTTGGAGGGGCTTAATGCTCCTGTATTCTGTGTTATTACTGGCCTTGCCCTCAGTCTTCACTCTGCTTCTTTCCAAGATTTAGATTTCAACCAGCTGCATGGTCCTGCTCGTTTTATTGTGCCCTTTGTGACCTGTGGGGACCTCAGCGCCTACGATTCAGATCGCAGTTATCCTCTGGACGTGAGTGTTCAGTCATCAGAGCATGGGGCAGGGAGACTGCCTTAGATGCTCAGAAACTCATCATCTGCCTGCCCCTTGTGTCCCACAGCTAGAAAATGGCTCCGAGTATAAATACACTCCGCCCACACAGCCCCCCATCTCACCCCCATACCAAGAGGCCTGCAGGTTGAAGAAGAATGGACAGCTGGCCAAGGAGCTCCTCCCCCAAGAATGCTCCATCAACAGAGTAGACAAGTTGCCCCAGCCTCTGAGTGTCCCTAACTGTCATACCCTGCTAGCTCCCAAGGTATGGATATTCACTTCAGAGCCCACCACAACTCCTTCCCCATATGCCTGTTTCTGTTCTGACTCACGTGATTCTTTCCTGCCGTGCAAACAACTATAAGAATCTATAGGTCAGCCCACTGACAAATGGAAAAATGTAGCCAAATGCCTGAGTCCCTTTTCTTTTTCTTTGGCAGGTGGAAGACACTGAAATCAAGTGCTCGCCTTAACACATGAGGTAAATTTCCCCTAAAGTTCAAATAAAGGGCATCTTTGGGGAAAAGCTGAATGGGGACTGCAAGCTGGCTCAGTGGTTAAGAGCAGGAGTGCTCTTGCAGAGGACTGGAGTTTGGTTCCCAGCACCATGTCTGGCAGCTCACTACTACCACCTGGGACCCCACCTCCATGGGATTGAACATATCTGATCTCCCTGGGCAACTAAATTTGCAAGCA